TTGAACTCAGCTGTCGATTTTGGTCTCATGATCAAGAGAAATGGATAACAGAAGGTTGCAAGGTACATATGTTATTGTCCTTACAAGAAAGTGCCTTTTTCGGAATAATCTGGTCCTTAATGTAACAATACAACAAAGACAAACTTTTACTTTTCCAAAACATTTAAGGTGGCCCTCAACCGCCTGATTAGAATTTTATTTGTGTGATGCCATTATTGTAAGATCATGTGACAAAGAGTGGTAGTATTGATCCATCAAATTATAAGTGATGGAAAGTGATGAAAGCTATTGTCGGCCACCTTAAGCAGTTGTGAAATGAATGCCTGAAAAAATACACTTTACCAAAAAAGCTATAATGCCAATAGGGAACTGGTCACCGTGGTTTGGCAATATACCATTAAAAAATTAAGATATGGAATTAGATATGTCACATGTATATTTGAACTAGGGTGAAATTCTACAGGTCAGCGTAGACAGTTATACTCACGTTCTTTGACGTTACAGGTTGGACCTCAATCTACCAAACATCGTCTTCTCTGTCTGTGTAACCACCTCACATCATTCGGTGGAGGACTTCTGGTAGCACCGAACCCCATTGATATGGACACGGTTTTCAAAGAGCTCAGTCGCCTTGATGAGACTGGTAATTTTGGCGTTCTTCTTACTGTCATCTTCGTCTTTTTGTTGTATCTTATGGCTATCGTCGTTGCCAAGAGAGCAGACAGGAGAGATCAAGCCAAGGTAACGAGAAGCTCAAAAATCTTCAAAAACTTCTCTTTATCTAGTTCAAATACTATACTTAGATCATATGAGTGCTTAGAAAACTTTATCCGATGTAAATATATTTTGTCTATCAGCAAAAGTTTGAATCAGCGGATTCGCTTTCATCTATTTACTCAAAACGTGCGGCTCTTTCACCTGTTTCCTGATAGGATATTCCTTTATTTTAACCAGCTTGGTCCCAAAGTTGTACTGGAAACAGAAGGGAACCTAATTTCCCATCAATATGAGCTGACAATTAGTACCGGCGTGTGGCCAGACAGTGGAACCACAGCCAAGGTTACCATGGTGTTTCATGGCAGTTCTGGTAATAGTGGACCGATCACAGTGTGTCGAGACCTTGATCCTCCACGAGTTCTCCTTGCCCGCGGCAGTGTTGACAAGTATATTATGCCCCTTTCAACGTCCCTTGGAACGTTGCACCACGCTTATATCTGGCATGACAACTCTGGAGAAAGTCCCTCTTGGTTCTTGGATCATATCATTGTCAGGGAAATAGAGACTAGTAGAGAATGGAAGTTGATATGTAATCAGTGGTTTTCTCCCGACAAAGATGATGGGAATATTGTCCGCAAGCTCTCAGTAGAAAAGACAAATTCACTTCCTGCGTTCCAAGAGGCGTTTCGCAAGACACTCTCTGGTACTCTTTATGAGAGTCATTTGTGGATGTCGTCAGTTACTAAACGTCCGGGAAGCTCTTTTACTCGTGTACAACGTGTCACGTGCTGTTTTTGCGTTGTATCCACCACTATGCTTGTCAATGCAATGTTTTTCAATTTGAGTAGCGAGGCCGAGGGTGCTATCAAAATTGGTCCATTGAAGGTTTCGATGAGACAAGTCATAATAACATTACAGAGCTGTTTGATTATAGCCCCCATCAATTTTCTTATCGTTGCAATCTTTAAAAACTCAAAGCCAACTGTCGGCAGGTATTGTGGCAAGGTATATAAAGTAACAGAAGAACAGGGTTCAGATGATGATGACAAACGTTTACACCACGTCTTTGTCTACGTTGCTTGGTTTCTTTGTTTCGCCACCGCCATAACCTCTACCACAGTTGTATTCTTCTACAGCCTGATGTGGCATAAAGAGACAGCTGATGAATGGCTTTCATCAATCGTTATGTCAATAACAATGGACTTCTTTGCCATTCAACCTGTGCGTCATGTTATATTAGCAGCTGTGGCTGCCATTGTTATAACAAAGGCAAAACAGACAAAAGAAAGACTCTCGTCGAAAAAGAGGTATACCCATACTTTGTTACATGTTTTATTCTTAATCTCGAAGACGTAAAAAGGGGCTTAAACTCTTGGGGAAGACAAGGTACACAGAAAGCGACATAAAAATTAGTAATTTTTCGTTACTGAAACTTTAAAACATCGTCGTTTTCACGTTGATCATTTCAGTTTGCAAGAAATAATGTATCTGGACATTATTGAAACTTTTTTTTTCTACAATTAAAAAAAATAAACTGGCTACAAACCTGTATTCAGAGAACTACATTTTTTAGTATAGACATTTGAGAAGTTTGAAGTTTTTTTGATATTGCGTTCAGCATGGATTTGAAATTTACAAACAGTTTAGAATTTAAAAAAATCTACGAAAAAAAAATTGAAAAGATGAAGATCCAGATGACAACGTGAAGTACCAGTCACATAATATAACGTTTCTTGTGACTTCAATTGTGGTACTCAACAGGAGCTAATAAGTTAAATGAAGGTCTTAGGGATTCATAGTACTTGTGACACTTTTTCTCTATGCCGCTTTTCCACTCGATACATCTTGCATATCAAGACTGTCACATTTCCGGTGAATATACACACCTTACAACGTATATAGCTACGGTAACTCGTACGCTTACTATAGTTCAAAAAATACTAAAATCATCTTACGACTTAGTTGGTGTTGTGTGCAACATCCAGTAACCTGCTTAAGAATGTTTTTAAAATTTTCTTGCAGGTTTACAGGAACTGAAAAACAGTCTTTCGAGGATGAAGTACCACCTGAAATTTATAACGGAGCCTTACCGGATGCTATGCAGTTGGAATGGTACAAAAAGTACAAAGACAAGGAGACTAGAACCTTGTCGGCATTCAAGTCCTTAACGTTCTTCGCATTATTTATGCTGGTGTTGGGAATAGTTTGCTATGGAAGTCGCGATTATCATCACTACCTGATGGTTGAAGAAGTGAAGGCCATTTTTCCACGGGCTGAACAGGCAAGTAAATTTTAATCGTAATGCATACGGGACTTCTTTTCAATAATTTAAATATCTTGTGCTTTCATTGGCCAACGATTGGTTAGGTATAAATTTTGCTCTGATTTTATTTTAAACTAAGAGGTTTTTAACGGGAAAATCTCAT